CCTACCGCCATCCTATCCCAACTCCCTACCCTACCCCTATCTTACCGCAACCCCAACCCTACTCACTACCCCCATCCTTACCCCTAACCACCACCCTAACCCAACCCCGTACCCCTGGACCTTACCACCCCACCCCCAATCATACTCCTTACCCCACCCCCTGCCACCCCCATTCATAACTTCCTTCCCTACCCTAACCCCTACGAGTAGGTATGGGTGGGTATGAAGGGTTTTAGGGGAGTATGGGTAGATGTAAGATCGTGGTAAGGGTAGGGGTAGGGGTCAATGGTGTGGAATTGGGTGTAGGGTGTATGTTGGGGGTACGAGGTATAGGGACAGGGTAGGGATCAGGAGTATGGGTACACGTACGAGGTGATCGACCCCATTGTGTGTCTATGTTCATTAATGTGTGTGTTTATATATGTATAGGGTTATTTTGGACATTTTAATGTTAAACGATGTTTTAAACCTTTTGAAGTGAACAGGATCTTATAACATTGCTTATTTTATGTGTCGCTTATTAACAAGAGTTTTAATAAGTACCATTTAGTAACCCGTGAAGTAAACGTGTCAGTCTTCTGGATGATCACAGAATTGGATGAAAAATTGATGAACATGTTTTCAGATTTGAAAATGGAAAACTAGAAAATAGAAACAGAAAACTAGAGATAGAAAAACTGAAAAATAAAAACAGAAAATTGGAGAACGAAAAACAGAAGTAGAAAACAGCAAAATATCTCTGTTAGTATTTAGACGACACAGAGTTAACCAAATTTGACATGAGATAATCTTATCAAGACGGAATGAAGTATTAGTTAATCAGTCCAGCTTCGTGTACACCGCATTATACATGTCATTGTGCACGCCGGGAAAATTGTCTGTGTACAGACAATTTGACCGGCGTTTTATGAAGAAAATCAATTTTCACATAGATAAAAACCAAAATTTGTTTGTATCACATACATTTTAAACGAGAATATTTTATACCATGTCTATCATACAACCAATTTGACCGGCTTTTTATGAACAAAAACGATTTCTTTACAGAAAAGAAAATTGTCTTTATCACAGACACTTTAAACGAGAATCTTTCATAAAATGTTTGTGATACAGACAGTTTTAAAAGAGTTTTAAAATGTATGATACAGACAAATTTTTTGTTTTGTCTATGTGAAAATCGATTTTCTTCATAAAACGTCGGTCAAATTATCTGTACAGATAGAGACAATTTAACTGGCATGTACAATGATGTGTTCAAATGTGGGTACAAAAACATTTGTTTGTACAAATGCGAACCGGTTCAAATTCACATAGATAAAAACCAAAATTTGTTTGTACAAATGTGAACCGGTTCGATTTCAAATAGACTAGAAGAATGGTTAATTGGTTGAATAAATTTTAAAGAATTGGGATCCTTTAATTTGTGGGCTCTAAGCTCACAAGTCAACTGATCTCTTTTGTTAATTTAGCATAGCAAAAAAGGATGACACCCCATCCCTGAGGGACCCAACCCCGATCGGACGGTACGTTGGGAGGATGTAAATTGGACAATAATCTCAATCTGACAGATAGAGAATGGAGCTTTGTCCCCGGTACTTGCAGATGCCCTATGCATTTTTAGATCTTTTGTTAATTTAGCATTTTATACACGAAGTATATATCTAATATATTTGAATTCTAATTTTGCAATTTAATTATCCTTTGAGTGCTTTCTTTAAATATTTAATTTTAATTTATCTTTAATAAACTTATTAACATAAATATTAAGTACGTTATGCAGGAGAGAATCAATGCAATTCCTGGAGTTCTGCCTCCACTTGACATAGCGTCTCAAACGTGTTATGAAGACTCACCTTTTGACGGTTCGATCATCCGTGTCGAACTGCCATGTAAATTTGACGTACCAACCATGGAGCCATTTGATGGAACCACGGATCCCGTAGAACATGTGTGATATAAGCAAGTGATGTCGACAGTCTCTGTTAGAACTGAACGGAAAGAGGCATGTATGTGTCGTGGATTCGGCATGACATTGACCGGTCCAGCTTTGACATGGGAGCGTCGGTTCGTTTGTCAAACTCGTCAATATTTTCAATCGACAGTTCGCGAGCAGTAAGGTATTGGAAAGACAGACCAGCGACTTGTATCAAGTCACTCAGAGGCATGGTGAATCCCTTAGAGATTATTTGCACAGATTCAACAAAAGGAACGTGTCGATCCCAAAACGTGACGTCTCTACCGTCATTGAAGCATTCAGGAGAGGTTTATATGAAGATTCAGAGCTGTATCGCGAACTGACGAAATACCCTTGTCGATCCTTCGAAGATGTCCAAGCAAAGGCATTGGCTTTCATCCATCTAGAAGAAGACTTACGATACCGTCACAAATAAGTTGAGTATGAAGGGGGCACGGGAAATCAGAATCTCTTAGGAGGCATGATTACAAGTCTGGAAAACCTTATTCAAGACCTGAGGAATGAGTCGTCACGCCATGACGAGATGGACAAGACAAGTTGATTAAAATCTCGGATGGGGGGCATGTCGTCCGACGGTAGATAGTTTCTCGTGACGAGTCACTCCCATGATGAGTAACTCCCGTGACGAATCAATTCCCTGATGATTCACTTTCGCGACGAGTCACTTCCGTGACGAGTCACTTCCTTGATGAGATGATTAGAATCGTCAGACAGGGGGCACATCATATACATATTTTTAATTTATTACTTTCATTTATCTATAAACAATCACTAACTTGAGCATCGGAGGGCCGTTGGCATCTAGCCAACGGCCAACGTTAGCATATTCTTTTTTATGCAGGAACAATCGATAATTGACAATGACAGAATCCTAACATACATCAAATAAAGCCTTACAAAAGCGTCAAAACACAATTGACGGGGGTTTACAGAATCTTAGGGGAAGAAGTGGGGTTTTCATGTACGCTAAACATGAGTATAAACACCACCGATTGTTCACATTGTTTTGGCCAAAACTACAGAAATATACAACAGAAGCATGTGCTCCAAGAGCATGACAACACAAGCTCCAAAACTATACATAAAAACACACTCTAGTTGACATCGACACGAATGACATCGACATAATCGACATCGATACGAATGACATAGTAACAAACAATCATTCTGAAGTTGACGATATTACTCTAAATATACAAACGAAATTTTGTTTAAAGTTTTTGTAGGATATGGTCACACCCACAGAGCCAAACGTGTCGTCACTCTTGTCAACTGAAGCGTCAACATCAACCTGGATGAAGTTTCAACTCGTCAGCACTGCCTAGTTATGATCATTAGCACAAATTTGGAGGAAGAGGATAGGAGATCAACCTTTGTTCTTTGTCGCTTCAGTCAAAGAGACGGATTCGATCAAAAACTACTTGCAAGGAAAGAGACAAGTTGACGAAGCGTCTCGTCATACGGGTGACGGGTTGACGACATGTCTTGTCCAACTGATAACGAGTCTATAAGTGAAATAATCAAGTATGACCAATATAAATTCTTTCAAGATTTTGACAAGTTACTGCTTAACAGGTTGACATTTGTACCCGTACGCATCAACTTCTGAGAAGGGGGCAATTAATGGGCCGTGGAAATACAACTAGCGGACCGGCCCATTCCTAAAAGGCAATTAAATGTGAAGCCCAATTAAATGAGGGAAAAGCTGATGAGGATAACTATAAGCACTAACGGAAGGATTAGACTTGGAGCAAAAGAGGCGTAACTGCATGCGGAAGAATAGGAGTCCGCTACTTAACCGGTTGGTTGAGTCAAGATAGTGGAGGATTTATCCATTTAAATAGAGGAGAAGACATTGAAGAAAAGGGGAATCTATCTGAACAAACATCGAGCTCTATCTGAAAATATTCTTATTAATTCGATAGATTATTCAGTTCAATTTATCGAGGCTTTTTACTTATTATTTTGTATTATCCTAATTCTCAATACTTGTTTTAGATTAGACTAATTATTGTTTAAACAATACCCTGTTTAATCTCTTTCCTCTGTCTGGATTGCTTCCGCCATTTTCTCTCACCATTTCACAAAAATTAGATTTTTCTTTCTTCAAATCTATGCGCAGTGGAGAGTTGGGAAGGGCGGTGGCGGCAAAGTTACAAGAGCAATGACGACACACTTGAAAGGAGAAGGTAGCGCAACAGATTGTTTCTTCACCCGGATTGAATGGCGTGAAATAGCTGACGATGAGACAAAGCGTGCCGGATCGGAGAAGGTAAGGTGCAGCGGCGGTAGCTCTGCCAGGCCCTCCTCCTCCTTCTCCAATCCTCCCCTCCTCTCATTTCTTCCTCTCCTTTCTTGTCTCCTTTTCTCCCGTCACCTGCTTTCCGATCGGTTCCTCTCTTGAGGTAGACAGGTAGTGATGTACGTACTTCCTCCGTTCTTTAAAAAATGCAACATTTTCCATTTTCGGCAGTTTGAAATTAAATGCAACCTTTCCATTTTGGGAAAGAAACATTAAGTAAACTGACTAGTATACCCTTTTTTATTTAAGGCACCCATCTTTCATTTATGACATTTTTTAGTTTATCCACCCACCACCACCAACTGTCATCTTTACCATCTTTACAACCGTCATCTAGTATGTGGATGTAATGAAAAGTTTGATTGATGTGCAACTGTAGCATTTATGAACTTTTTGGTTTATACGTACATTGCAGGGTAAAATAGACAAGCATATTACTTTTTTTGTTTCTTAATCCTTGTGCCCACTGCCCAGCCTCATGTTGCATTCTTTTCCGAACAGAGGATGTATATGCTAATTTGATATTTTGCTTTAGTAACTTCTTTCTTCTTCTTTTTGCAAAAAAACAAAAATCTTTTTCTTCATTGTAAATTTGTTTTTATGTTGTAAATTTTTCAATATTTTGTGTTGTTCAATAGTTTTCAACATTTTTTCAATATTTGTTCTATATTTAATTTTTTGAATTTCTACCGTATTTTTTGTTTCACGAAATGATAATGATTTGCAAACAATGACATTGTATATTATGACATTGTATATTACATTGTTGTACAAGCAGTATATTAAATCACTCGGTGCCTCAACATGCTTCAATGATTTACAAAACTTTACTCATTACTCACAATACTACATGAAAAATGTCTTGTGTACACGGCGTTTTACACTTTTACACGCCCGTGTACACGCTATTTAAAAGCTTTCTTTTACCGAGCCATTTACCCGCATACCGTAGGTTCTTCAATTATTTCCCCTTCTTTCATCGTACTCCCTGCTCCGTTACTCCCTTCTTCCCCCGTTCTTCTTTAAGCACTGAGCAATCAGTCCACGAGGTCAGTAGTCATATAAAGATGCCAGCACTGGGGGTAAAGATCCGATCAGAAAGAAACAAGCATCGACCCTCATCCGCGAGGAGCCCGGTCTTCAAACATGATAATGGCACTGTACAAGGGGTTCGGTGGCCATGTAAAGATGTCGACACTGGGGGCTGATTGGAAAGAAACGAGCAACGGCTCTCATCTACGAGGAGCGGGGACGAGGCCAATCTTAAACAAGGAAAAGTGGAAAACACGTCGTGCCGAGAGCCTGGTCGTGATATAATGGCATCGTCAATGAGAGGCCGACCTGAAAGAATCAAGGAACGGTCCTCATCCGCGAGGAGCGGGGACGAGGTTGGTCTTCAAGTATGAAAAGCACGCCGCATCGAGAGACCGGTCATGATATAATGGTGTCGGCAATGAGAGGCCGACCTAAAACAATCAAGCAACGATCCTCATCCCCAACTCATTGTGATGTCATTTCATGCATCATACCTCCTTTTTCTTCATGGGCATATTCAAATCAATGCTATACTGCCCTCATCAAAATTCACCCCAGCCCCCAAAATCACACACAAAAGATGGGTATTAATCAACAGCAATCAACCATATCAGTGAAGGTTAGGTCTCCTGATTTAGGTTTCACAGCTGTGCATGACCTAGTTAACAATATTCACAAAGCATATCACATGACAAGAGAGTCTAGATAAGTAACATACAACATAAACTTTATCCAGAATTAAGTATTCGTGCAGACGCAAAGAGCAATGGTTTGGTTTGGAATAACACTACTCAAGCAGCAGCTCACATGAATCCACTTGGGAAGCCGGTACATAATCACTAACAGATGCTTGAAATGTTGTTCTTTCTTTGGTCCCCATGTTCTTGGCTTGAAAGACAATGTTATACTCAACACCATGACGAACCCTATACTTCGCCTTTGACACTTTCTTGAACTCATAAGCCTCTCCTGGCTAAAGATGTAAGAGCGATTCCTATGTTAATTAATATATACAAGGCAGAGCAAATTGATTTAGGCAGGGAAGAGATGTGGTGCTACATACGTGGTGATTCTGGTAATGTGAGAGAGCCAATTTGCTTAGTTTAACCACTTTTACAGCTTCCTTATCATTGTGAATGTCAACACATATTTCGGATATGGTACTGATCTCGCCAGTCCTGAGAGAACATGTGCCCTGTTCAAAAATAAGATGTGGGCTCTTTTTAAAGTAGGTAAAAATATAAGTGAAGATTATAATTGTAATAATTTTCTACAATAATAATTTATATCAAAATACAAGTTATTCACTAACATAATAGTTAAAATAAAAGTATTCCTTAACAAAATACACTTCATTTATTTGTTAAACTGAATTATAAATTAATAGACTAATAACCTAATACCTGAAGTTGGTGATTTGCCAAGTTCAATTATTACAAACCATCTAAATATAATTATCTACGTACTAAAGCATTCAAACTCGGAATTAAAACAAAAAAAAAGAATATAAGAATTACAATTAAATATAAGAAATAAGATTATTACTCCGTATTGTATAAAACAAAGAGAATAATTAAACCTAAAATTAGACCGTTTCAATCCTACACGCTATATATGGAATCTTTGGCTCCATTGCAAATGATGGAAAATTCAGCATATATACAATGTAATAAAAAATTTGCTTCTCTGTTTAACAACTTGCAAGCTTCTGTATTCACTAAAGTAGTACTCCGTATGATATTATGCTGAAGAGCTAAATGAGAAGCATAGTAGAGCTTAGACTCTAGAGTTCAAAAAATATTTGGTGGTTGCTTTATATGCATAGTTCGATCAGGTCTGCAGGACACTAGAAGGCAGAGATGGAGGACATTGCTCATGTTGATTTTGGTTTTGCTTCTCAGTCTTGCTCGAACTCTTTGCTTAATCCCTACATGCTATGTAAAATATTTTGTAACTCTTATTTCCTCAACGCTACATTGTATCTATAACATCTGTTTGTGATAAGAATTTATTTTTCACAGATTTTTTAAGGTCACCAATTTTGATTGTGAGAATAGTAGGATGTGTAGTCAAGTAGAGGTCAATATTATGATTTAAATCTAAATTAAAATTGATATAATGATTTAGACCAATCATGTGAATAATGATTTAGACCAATCATCTAATAAAATTGTACAAGTGCATTTTGCTTTAGTATTACACTAACATTTTTCTCATTCTTAAAATGTCGTAACTGAATTGGTGTTTATAAGTTTTTAGATTAGAAATTGCCTGATTTCCAAGTATACAACCTCAGCATACTCATTATTCTCATGTTCGGAACTCAGAAGGATTTGAACCCACTTGCTCTTCCATTCAATTGAGATACCCACGAACAATCAGCTCGTTCTAATAAGGCTTGGACTGGGTCGGGCCGGGCCAGACCGACCTGGAAACCGGCCCGGCCCGCTAATGTTCGGGCCGAACCAACCCGGTGAACCGGTTATCGTTCCGGGCCTAGGCCCGGTCATGGGGATCAGGGCGGTTCCGGTCCTTCCCATTCTTTGGAGCCGGGCCCGGGCCTTACTTATTTTATTTTTTTGTTTTTTCAGTTATTTGGGTATTATCCTGAGTTGGGTGGGGTGTTTTGGGGGTTGGGGGGTTGGGGTAATTAGAATAGCAAAAAAACATAAAACTAGACCCGGCCCGATCCGAACCGGACCCGGTGGATACCCAGACCAGTCCCGGGCCTTCCCCCCAAACCCCAAAAGCCCGACCGGTCCTAGGCCAGACACGGACCCGAACCGGCCCGAGTCCATCACTAGTTCTCATTAGCCCTTTTTAATTTATCCTCAAAAGAGATTAAGGGTATGTTTGGCACAACTAGCTGAAAAGATACTTTTATGAGCATTTTAATAACTGTTAGCCTTTAGTGATTGAAAAGATCTTAAAAAGAAAAGTTGGTAGTTATTTGGTAAAAAGCTGACTGTTGGATTTAGTTCGGTTTGGTATACAAGCTGTTAGCACTAACTAATACTAAAAGTCACGGGCTTTTTCAGATGCTACTCCCTGTAGCATCTCAAAAAAAATCTTTTAATTTTTGAAAAGCTCTTAAAACTTGCCATGTCAAACATACAACTAGAAGCTTTTAGAGACTTTTTGAACAGTACAAAAGCTAGAAGACAGAGACTTATGCCTGCCAATCATAGCCTAATTCTTATCCGAGAGAAACTTAATAGTTTCATGGTTCTACTCCATTTCCTTTTCCGGCTCATCTCTTTTAATCGCAATTGGGCAAAGTGTTTCGGTCAAGCAAGCTTAAGGACTGAAACTAAGGTAGGATTATACTTGGAGCGAGTTGGTCAATCCCGTTCGAGTAGCCCCGGTTAAACGAGCGATCTTATGCTAAGTCTTTCTCTTCCTTTTTTATGTTATTATTTATACTCCGTATCTAATTATTGTTATTTTTATTTATTCTTGTTTTTAGTGGTTTGTATGGTGATTTGTGATTAAACTCGGGATTTTATCTCACTAAACTCGCCTTTTGAATACAATATTACCTCTGTCCCAATAGACTTTGCACTCCTTAAGTTAGGTGAGAAATAAGAATAGTAAAAATTGTGTGGTTGAAGTTTGTGCAAAGGAGATAGAAATGAGTAGAACCACAAAATAGTTACTTTAATGGGAAAGTAACAAAGTTTTTTGGACAACAAAAAAAGGAAAGATGACAATGGGACGGAGGGAGTATCATTTTTCAAACAAGGGGCCCTTCTGTAAAACAAACTCCCAGTTTGATAGAAATTCATACTTATTTGCTTTATACTTCGATGGAGGGATGTAGTCGTAGGAAAATTGCAGCTCTAGTATATTATGCAGAAGCTTCCCCCTTTCCCAAATCATGTCAAATAAAAAGTTCATAAATGTCTTATATAATAATCCAAACAAGTTTAGGGAAATGCATATGAATATAAAAAGTCTACTAAAATCTCATATGCTTACAAAACTCTTAATAAGTCTCAAATGATCGAATCGATCCCCTAATCTCGCATTTTACTCCAGGCCTCTCAAGTAAATGGATTGACGATAACAAATTTTGCAGGACATTCGGAACCCATCGGTCTTCTCTTTTGAGCCTTTGGGAATAGCCGTACTACTACTAGCAACCACTGTTGATGGTACCGCACCTACGAGAGACATTAATATATGGACAACCTTTCAAAGGGATAAAAAAATTATTTTATATTGATATAAAATACCTATAAAATAATTTATATTTCATATTGATATAAGATACCTCTTGAGAGGATCCACATAGATGTCATCAAAAAAGTATATTCTTTTGATGACATCTCTTCCAACTAGTGCATGACCCTGTGTTCCCCATCTTAGCCCCAAAGAATTTCGGATTTCATAAACTAGAATTTGTTCAATTGTGCCATATCCGGTAATGATCACAAAATGATTGGAATGTTGAAAGTCATCGTCCTCGGTTCTCTCGTAAATTTCCTATTAACATATAAAAAATATTACATAAATATTTTAATCATCACAATACTCATATTTAAACATTACCTACCAAATTTTTAAAATTTGATAGCTTACATCCAAATTTGGTAGCTACCATTCAAATCAAAAAATATTTCTTCAGATGAATGATGGCCTCATCTTCAATTCGTGGATCAATTCTCCAAAGCGACCTACTTTTATATTTGCTCAACTCTAAAAGCGTTCTTTATTATACAGTTGAGCAAATATGCAGGTCGTTTTCAAAAAATTGATCCACGAAATGATGATGATGTCATCATTCATCTGAAGAAATATCCTTTGATTGGAATGGTAGCTACCAAATTTGGATGCAAGCTATCAAATCTTAAAAATTTGGTACATAATGTTTAAAAGTGAGTATTGTGATAATTAAAATATTTATGTAATAAATTTTATATGTTAATGGGAAATTTACGAGAGAACAGAGGACGATGACTTTCAACATTCCAATCATTTTGTGATCATTAACGATTGTGGCATAATTAACCAAATTCCGGTTTATGAAATCCGAAATTATTTGGGACTAAGATAAGGAACACATGGTCATGCACTAGTAGGAAGAGATGTCATCAAAAGAATATATTTATGTGGACCCCCAAGAGGTATTTATATCAATATGAAATATTAATTATATTATAGGTATTTTATATCAAGATAAAATAATTTCTTTTTATCTCTTTGATAGGTTGTTCAAATATTTATATCTCTTGTAAGTGCGGTACCATCAGCATTGGTTGCGCGTAGCAGAACGACTATTCCTAAAGGCTCAAAAGAGAAGACCGATGGGTTCTGAGTGTCCTGCATAATTTGATGTCGTCGATCCACATACTTCAGAGGCTAGGAGCAAGATGCGAGATTAGGGGAGTCTATTCGATAATTTGGGACTTATTAATTGCCCCCCAATTCTCTTGCACAACCAAGGTAGTTCGTTGGTAGCGGGGCAATCTGGTGGTGGTGGCAGCGGAAGTCGCCGGAATTCCAACGGCGGCCGCCACCACCGGCGTTAATAAGTGGTCGCGGAAATAGCCGTACTGTTACTAGCAACCACTGTTGATGATACCGCACCTACGAGAGACATTAATATATGGACAACCTTTCAAAGGGATAAAAAAAATTATTTTATATTGATATAAAATATAAAATACCTATAAAATAATTTATATTTCATATTGATATAAGATACCTCTTGAGGGGATCCACATAGATGTCATCAAAAAAGTATATTCTTTTGATGACATCTCTTCCAACTAGTGCATGACCCTGTGTTCCCCATCTTAGCCCCAAAGAATTTCGGATTTCATAAACCAGAATTTGGTCAATTGTGCCATATCCGGTAATGATCACAAAATTATTGGAATGTTAAAAGTCATCGTCCTCGGTTCTCTCGTAAATTTCCTATTAACATATAAAAAATATTACATAAATATTTTAATCATCACAATACTCATTTTTAAACATTACCTACCAAATTTTTAAAATTTGATAGCTTACATCTAAATTTGGTAGCTACCATTCAAATCAAAAGATATTTCTTCAGATGAATGATGGCCTCATCGTCAATTCGTGGATCAATTCTCCAAAGCGTCCTACTTTTATATTTGCTCAACTCTAAAAGCGTTCTTTATTATACAGTTGAGCAAATATGCAGGTCGCTTTGAAAAATTGATCCACGAAATGACGATGATGGCATCATTCATCTGAAGAAATATCCTTTGATTGGAATGGTAGCTACCAAATTTGGATGCAAGCTATCAAATCTTAAAAATTTGATACATAATGTTTAAAAGTGAGTATTGTGATAATTAAAATATTTATGTAATAACTTTTATATGTTAATGGGAAATTTATGAGAGAACCGAGGACGATGACTTTCAACATTCCAATCATTTTGTGATCATTAACGGTTGTGGCATAATTACCAAATTCCGGTTTATGAAATCCGAAATTATTTGGGACTAAGATAAGGAACACAGGGTCATGCACTAGTAGGAAGAGATGTCATCAAAAGAATATATTTATGTGGACCCCCAAGAGGTATTTTATATCAATATGAAATATAAATTATATTATAGGTATTTTATATTTTATATCAATATAAAATAATTTCTTTTTATCTATTTGGTAGGTTGTTCATATATTAATCTCTTGTAAGTGTGGTACCATCAGAATTGGTTGCTTAGGCAGAACGACTATTCCCAAAGGCTCAAAAGAGAAGGCCGATGGGTTCTGAGTGTCCGGTATAATTTGTTGTCGTCGATACACATACTTAAGAGGCTAGGAGCAAGATGCAAGATTAGGGGAGTCTATTCGATCATTTGGGACTTATTAATTGTCCCCCAATTCTCTTGCACAACCAAGGTAGTTCGTTGGTAGCGGGGCAATCCGGTGGTGGTGGCGGTGGTAGTCGCCGGAATTCCGGCGGCGGCCACCACCACCGGCGCTAATAGGTGGTCGGCGGCAGACAACTGGCAGCAGTACTGGAGTAGCAGTGGGGGTATTTTGGTCCAATCACTAATAAAAAGTCCTATTTAAGGATGTGAAACTAGGTGCTCCTACTTTGGGAAAAAATTACTCCGTATGTTTTAATCCTATTAAGGTAAATCGCCCTTAATTTTTTTCACTATGTTACTATAAATATGTTATTATAAATATAAAAGCACAAGTTCTTGCTATTATTACTATCATACGTTAATATGTATTGATTTGCTTTATTGTAGAGGAATAATGGTCGAATGGAAATGTCATTATTATATGGAGACACGAGTTTGATCTAACACCTCGTTTATTGTTGTGTGTATGTACAGATATATGATTACTCTGAACGGAGATGTTGATTCTCATTTATCACTGTTGTCGCCCCCAACTCGACCCCAAGTAACATCTATCTGACTATTGCAAATCACACGTTTTTTTGCAAACAAAACTTTATTAATAAAGAAAAGAAAGAAGTAGTCTCCGCCCTCTTCCCCGGGTAATCCTTGCTCTTTAGCACATTTTATTAATTTTGACAACTTTTCTACCCACCATCATGCCTTTATAGTTGAAGTCCATGATGGTGTCAAACCACGTTCTTTTTCCGAGGCCATGCAAGATCCTGGTTTACGTGATGTTATGGCCAGAGAAATTCGTGCCCAGGAGGATAATGGCACATGGGTTATGGCTGAATTACCTCCCAACAAAAGGGCTCTAGCTGCAAGTGGGGGTACAAGTTAAAGTATCATTCTGATGGGAGTGTTGAGCACCTCAAGGTGCATCTTGTTATTTTGGGCAATCATCAGGTAGTCGGACTAGACTATAATGAGACATTTGCTCCCGTGGCTAAGATTAGGGTTGGGTTCGGTTCGGGAAATGAGAAATATCCGAACCGAACCGATCTTTCAGTTTCTTATATTATAAGAAACGAAACCGAACCAAACTTTGTTGGGACCCAATTTTTCGGAAACCGAATTTTGGGTACGTTTTTTCGGTTTTTGTGAAAAAAACAGAATCAACATTCAAAATTTATATATACAATAGCTAATATTCGTCCTAAGACTTTCCTAGCTCCATTCTCCATAGCAGCTATGAAGGGGTGATTTTGTAGGCTCGTATGAGGAGTAACTCCTCTCTTCCATCCGGTGTGGGATGAATTACATAAGGAAGAAAAACTAAATGGAAAGTTTGGGACGGATGAAAAGCAAAAAGCAAAAAGCAAAAAGTAGAAGGGGCGCCTTACCGATTGCGGCTGAGCTACTCCGAATAGTTGTTACATACTTTATACTTATACAAATTAAATAAAATAATTAAAAACTATTATTAAATAAAAAATCGGTTCGGTTCGGTTTGAACCGATTTTCAATCTCAAAGAACCGGTTCCGAACCGATTTTTATTCGGGTCCCAACTTTCGGGTCCCATTCAAGTCGTTCGGTTTCGGGTCGGTTTTTTTATCGCTCGGTTCAGTTTTTTCGGTTTTTCGGTTAAAAATTCCAGCCCTAGCTAAGATGGTCATTGTCCGTGTTTTTTTAACTCCGAGCAGCATGCAACAAATAGAAATTTGGACAGCGGGCACCTTAAACAACTCCGGGCAGCAATTAGGATTAATTAATTCCACCCCTAACACCCAAAAAACCACCCTGAAGCACAAGAATTGAAATAAACAACACTTAGCAATTCAATTTAAAACAACTAAACAATCTGTGACAAAAGGGAAGGTTTAGCAAACGTACCTGGGGGTTGGCGGCCGGGATCAAATCAACCGGCGGCCCGCGAGGAGGAGGAATAAATTAAACCCGGAGGCACCCGGTACACCTAGGGTGTTTATAGCCAATTTACCTTAGCGAAACCCTAGGAGAGGGTTTCGACCTTACCTACCCAATTTAAAAAAATTGGGATTTTCGGACTGGTGACTGACTTTGACGGGAGTTGACCGACGTTGACTGGCGTTGACCAGTGTTGACCGGTGTTATCTGTCTCCAGGTGCAGGTGCAGGTCCAGCAGCCCAGCAGCAGCTTCAGCCCGGTAGTCCAAGAGCAACCCAGCAGCTCCAGCACTCCAAAAGGCACCAGTCCAGGTCCAGAGGCACTCCAGGTCCAGCAGCTCTTCCAGCAGCCCAACAAACCTGGTCCAACAGCTCCACACCAGCCCAAAACAGCAGAAACCCACCACCCCAGCAGCAGTGGGGCCCAAGTTCTTCGTCCCTATCCTCAACGACCAGAACAGGTCTGAGTAACGTCTTCTGCGAAAACCAAGGACCGAGCAGGCGTTGGCTTCGAAGGACGAGGACAGTTCCAGCCACGAGGTCTTTCCGGAGACGACTTCCAGGCGGACGGATGGCGGATGGCGAACACTTCCAGGCGACGGCGGCTCCAGCTGCGAACGACTTCGGCGATGATTTCAGAGTCCGGTCAGAGATCGATTTCAACCTCCAGGCGGCGAACGGGATGCCGGCGAGCTGCAAGCGACGTCCACAGTATGTTCAAACTTTACATGATCAAGAAATTTATGATTTATTGTACATGTATGTGTATATTTATAGTACACAGTATAATTTAAAACAAATTATGTAGATTTTATATATAAAATGTAAATTAAAAATGTTAAGTTGAAACCTGAATACGATCAGGGTCGTAGTGTCGAAATGCCATCTGAAATATAAAATAATAAATGAATATATGAGTTTCTATAATAATAATAATAATAACATACTATCGTATAAACAAATGCGGGAAACATTTCAAAGTTTTGAATCATTAACAAAAAGCTTTAATATAATACTTCGTGGACTATATGAGGACCGCTTCCTCAATGGGCTTCAAACATAAATAGACACAGAAGTTATAGACTTATATATCTACATAGGGATTTCGCAAGTCGAGGCACATAAACTTTGTCCGAAAGTCTTATTCAAATATTTTTTTAAAATTATAAAATAATTAATTACACAATATCATGTTAGGAAAAAATAATTTCATATCCATGTTGTTTGAAATTTTTTAATTATTTTTGTTAGAGATCACTATTGATTTAACTATATCTATATTGTTGAAGTTATTTTAGGAGAATGTGTTATTTTTTTAATGTGTCATGATGAACTGCTTAAATATACTAAATTAGTATATTTAAGCAGTTTATCATGCCACATTCATAATGGGTTATTCAATATTGAATATGATTGTTCAATATGATATTGAATATGACATCAATAGGTTATTAATTATATTTTGTAACACTTTCATAATGGATTAAATATCTCTCTAGTAACACCGATTTAGTATATTTCGTTAATCTATGATAGTTTTTTGTATTGAGAGACATTCATGATGATTTACCGATATCGTACCGTTACCGAACCGAAACTTTGGTATATTCAAATGCGGTACACCTAAAATTCGGTAAGGTAATAGTATATATATTTTGTATACCGAAAGTTTTGGTACGCCAAAGGTATGAGAAAAAATATTCGGTATACCGTACTGAACCACCCCTAGTGATGAAGACAATGAGACTTCTACAGAATTATGAATATGGAGAAGAACCTTTACTTTGAGGGATTAAATTGCAATTTGCAAATGACAGAAATAATGACATATTTAAATTGCAAAAAGAAATTACTTTTAAGCAAAAAGTCACAAGTACCCTTACTTTTTATCTACTTTTTGCTCGGTTTGAATTATATGAAAGTCATGATCTTAAGAATATATACTCCATCCCGACTCAAGCTTATTAAAGTGAATATGACGATTGGACGACTAATACATCCTTGAAATACTAAATAATCTATAATGATACTTCGCAGTAGTAGTTATCATATACTGTACTCCGTATACATTTAAACAAAAGAAGGTGACATTTCATCCCTTAGGGTCCACACAACCGATTGGACAGTTGTATACATTTAAAAAATTATACTACATATGTAGTAGTTCTCATATATACATTTATCGATACCATTTCTATGAACATAAATGTTATTTGTCTATGGATAAAGCAATTATTTGAAAACTCATCTCGTCCAACGCACGGAATGAGTTTCTAGTTAATATAAACAGAAATTTGGGATTGTGCAATGTTATCGCAGGTAAGGGCATACTCCCTCCGTCCCTTAAAACTTTATCATCTTTCCTTTTTGGTACGCCCCAAAACTTTCGGCATCATTTAAAATACATTAGGGAATCATTAAAATAATAACACATAGTTATTGGTTACGTTTGAAGACACTTACTTAAGTACACAATTAGGTAATAATTCAATATCTGATAGGGGAACACTAAATTAATCTGAAGTTCGTTATTGGTTGAGTTAGGTTTCCTACAAAATTATAGTGAATTAGGAGTCTTTGTACATTTTCTATCATCAATAAAATATTGCCTGTAAGAATTATGATAATTAAAAAACAATTTTTTTTATTATTTTCGGGAAATGAATAATAATGAAATTAAAATTTATTTGACGAAAACTTCTTTTTAATCAGGTAAAGTAAGATAATTAAATGACTGAATGGGCACTGAATATGTGCAGAGATATTTTTCACTGCACAGTGTTTGTGGTATGGGCAAGACTGGAAAAAAATGATTAAACTCACTCACAACAACCCATACCCTAATACATCTGAAGCACTGTTTAGTCCAGCAAAAGTAACCACTGAGAATTCACTTTAGTGTGAATCAACAGTGACTGTAATTATTTACATTTTATGGTAAATAAAGGTCAGGATTTTGCTGGAAGATACGGTGATGTGTATTTTTTTCATCCACACACAAGACCTGAATTTGCACTTCAGGTAACAGAGTTGCCAAACAAAATGTTAACCTTTTTCAGAGTTGCCAAACAAAATGTTAACATTTTTCTCGAACAACCTTTATCAGAATAATGTAAGTTTGAAAAAAAAATCAGATCTAATTGTAACCAAATCAAACTAGAGAATACAAGTAAACATTAGGCGAGTGTGATAAAATATTATGACAATATTTGTTTTTCAAAATATGTGTTTTGTTTTGTCTGGGCAAAAGAAAGTAACACATAATTAAAGGATTAGATGACTAAAGGATATTGTCCACTGTTACCTGTGGTTTTACATGGGCAAAAAATAATGTTACCCCTCCATTTTTGCTTTAGTCATCCTGCATTCATGAGCAATTAGTGTACAACTTTATTATATACTCCGTATGATACAATTTTAAAATCTAAATATAACAGTAGATAGGATTTAGTATGGACATGTGATTTTATTCAACAGCTCCTGTGATTATGAAGTTTGATCCAATGCGGCAGACCTTACAAAGATTTTCTCCCATGCCATTTTATGCAATAGAAGAGTACATTAAACTTATTAAAACTTGGCGAAAGAAAACTAAAAAAAAATTAGTAAAAATAAAAGAAATAAAGTTGTCGAAATAAAACTTAATTAATGTTGTATGTAAATATTTTTTACAAGATTCATACCGTAAAGGTATCACCATTGAGAATGTGAAGCTTTCATCTAGAATTGGTCTTCGTTGATTTGTGATAACTGGAAGGTTATCTTGCTCGAATTCGTTGTCTATTGAGTGTGTGTGTGGGTGGTTTATTTGATCGTGTTGTGGTTGTATAAGTGTGGGTGTCTGTGTAACACAAATAAGTGTGGTGTTGTGTTGTTCGAGATAATAAGTGTGTGTTATGTAGGTGGGTGGTTTTAAATACGGAGTAGTTAATGTTTGGTGTAAAAAAAGTGGTGAGCAGGTGTGTGTGGCTGGCTTGATGTAATAAATAGGGTTAGTCGAATAAATTGATGTTTGTGGGGTAGGATGGTTTGAAATTTCAAATTTTCAAAAAATAAATGTGGGTGGGGTCATATTTAATACGTAGGGCGGTGGGATCACTTTTACCGCTGTCAATATTATTTGACTTTTCATTCTTTCTCTAGATTGTCTGGATTTTTCAGTAAAATATAAGGTACATTAAAGTTTAAATAATTATGAAGAAATATTTACAATAGAAAGTAAAGTTCATAAAAAAAAATCACATTGCTTTATGAGTGTATTACGAGTACTGAACTAATTCATTAACGACAAATAAAAAAATTTAAAAACCACACCTCCAGTAAAATAAATTGGAAAATTAGGTATTTTTAATTGGATTAGTCTGTTATGATTATAAAAGTTTCTGGACAACAAAAAACTTTGGGCATAATGGTTTTTCAATACTTTAAAAAGGCAAAAATGATATTTTGTTTTATGTAAAATTAGAATGGATTATTTTAGATGATTAATAACTTAAAAATTTTATTACAGTACAGGTATCGATCTGCACTTTTCAGAAAAATAGAAGGCACATTAAAATTTAAATGGTATGGGGCAAGTGTGATGAAGTAATGTTTACAATACAAATCAAAATTCATTAACTACTCCCATTTGTGGTTGTATAAGCGTTCGTGTGTTAGGTGCGATGTGAGATGAAAAGAATTACCGATTTCAAATTTGATGTTGAACGTCTTTGTTGGTCGTGGCCGCCGGAAGGAGTTTTGCACTGCGTCAACGTAGCATCGTTGTCAACCGGCCGCTGCGTAGTTCGTTAGAGAGAGATGTGTCTGACGTGAGAAGCGGAGGGTTTTGGTAGAATGATGGGTGTCATCCGATATATGTTGCTGGGCCATATGTTTTGGGCTTAAGTGTGTGGGCTGGCTCCGCAGACTTTAGTTTATTTGGACTGCAGTGCATTTGGGCTACATTTCAAAATAATAAGGATACGTCTTATATTATCCTCCGTCCCAGAAAATTCTTTACACTTTGATTTGGCACGGAGATTAAGAAAATGAAATAAAGTCGAAATTTGTGATTGTAGTTGTGTAAGAAAAAGGTGAAATGAATGTGAACCACCCAAATTGGCCAAAAATGGTAAGTGGGAATAATTTTTTGGGACGGCCTAAAAAGGAAAGTGGGACGAATTTTATTAGACGGAGGTAGTACGTAAATATTTCAAATTTTTTGAAAGTTGGACTTGGTTATTTTTCCTAAAGCCGGAAATTATCCTTAAGGTCGCGGGTTATGTAATTTAGGTCCGTGTGGGGGTTTTTTGTAGTCTAAATTCGGTTTGAGTTCGTGTTTGGCAGGTTATATCCTAAATGTGAAATAATCTCATTTTTCGGTTATATCTTAAAATCTAATTTCAGATATAATTAATAAAAAGCACAAACTTTAATAACACATATAGTATTGTTGGGAATATTTTATGGTGTTCAATCTAGTTAGTTATCTTTGTATTTGTGTAGTTATTAATTAATCGTGTAATACGGGTCACAAATGTGTATCAGCCCGTGGGCTTCCTTGTAACCCGTAAGTTAGCTAACTTCTCCTATAAAAGGAGGCTAACTTACGGGAACCCTAACCATCGATAGAGGCTTAGAGACGCAGAGGCGTAAAGATAGAGAGAGTTTAGGTTTGCCGCTGCTCTCCTTCTCCAGGGAGAGCAGCGGCCGGTTTTCATACGGTATACCAGATTTGGGTATAAACTTGTCGATTTCTTTCTATCTGCTTCTTCTATAACTGCTATATTTGTTGTTTGTTAAGTATTCTGGGATTAACAATTGGTATCAGAGCCGAGGCGTGAAACAGGTTGAATGTATCTGCGATTTTCTTGGATCTAACGAAGAATGCTCTGCTTTTCTTCTCTTTTTCTTCATATAGAGTTTTGCTCCTGTAATCTTGTTTGTGAACGAAAATCTGTAAAAATTATATTGTTGGAATCGCCTCTCAAAACCGATTCTACAGCATATCTTCTTTTTCGTTTTCTGCAAATTTTCATTTTCGAAAAACTCTCCTTGGAAACTCGAGTTTATGCTTTTATATGCCTGCAGAAACGATTTTGACTTGAAACAGATACAGGAGGGATCGCGACCTTCAGGGCTATTCAGAATAGTTTTCAGATTCTCAAAATTCGACAGTTTTTAAAACCGAGAGTTTGTAAACTCGCGGTCATGAACTCGAGTTTGTAAACTCGCGGTCATGAACGAGAGTTTGTAAACTCGCGGTCATGAACGAGAGTTTGTAAATTCGCGATCATGAACGAGAGTTTGTAAACTCGCGGTCATGAACGAGAGTTTGTAAACTCGCGGTCATGAACTCGAGTTTGTAAACTCGCGGTCATGAACTCGAGTTTGTAAACTCGCGGTCATGAACTCGAGTTTGTAAACTCGCGGTCATGAACTCGAGTTTGTAAACTCGCGGTCATGAACGAGAGTTTGTAAACTCGCGGTCATGAACGAGAGTTTGTAAACTCGCGGTCATGAACGAGAGTTTGTAAACTCGCGGTCATGAACGAGAGTTTGTAAACTCGCGGTCATGAACTCGAGTTTGTAAACTCGTGGTCATGAACTCGAGTTTGTAAACTCGCGGTCATGAACTCGAGTTTGTAAACTCGCGGTCATGACATCGAGTTTTAAACCTCGAGTTTTTAAAATTTGAGAGTTTTGGAATTGCGAGTTTTGGAATTTATTTCGAGTTTTAGGAACTCGATGTTTTGGATTTCGACATTCTAAAAAATTTCAGAATTTTCGGAATTTCTCGATGTTTTGAATCTTTCAAAGTTTGCAATTTCTTGGAACTCATAATTCGAATCTTGACATCCTTTGCAGTTCATCGAAGCTTTACATTATAAGGATCTCTGAATGATTCCCTGCTTATATAAATGTTTCAGGAGTTTTCGATGTTCTGATGTTTTTCAAACAGCAAGTTTTCGATATTATGAAGTTTTTCGAAACTCCAAAGTTTTCGAGGTTCCAAACATTTTGAAATTCTGAAGATTTCGTTATTCTGAGGTCTGTTTTGCAGGTGGATTTCGTCATTACTCTTCAAGGCAAACTAGAAATTAAAATCTCCAGATTTGGATTTCGAGTTTTTGCCTTAGAATTTTGTTTAAATTCACCTGCTCTTGAAATTCAACATTGAGAACCTCAACCTCGAAGATTTTCCTCAAAAACTCAATATTTGAGATTTTCTGCGACAACGCACTGTTTTGGCCATAACTTTTGACTCGGTGATCCGATTTGAGCAAACTTTTTTTTGTTGGGAAGCTAACGCATAGATCTACATTTATTCTAGGGGTTTACCCCAGAGCCCATTCTCACGCGCCCTCACTCACAGTCTTTGAGGGTCAAAACGTGAGTTTTCCGACAAACATTGTAAATCACCGATGTCCAGGTCAAAACTTAGGCAAATCTGTTCAAATTCTTTCAAAGTCAACCCTGAGGTCAAAACTTTTCTAAACTTCAATGTAAAGGTCTGAAAATCGTAGATAATTCAATCAACCTCGCGTCAACGGTCATCTTACAACAATCAACTGCTGAAGCCTCCCCTGACTCATCAACATTATGTGTTCATCAATATGCTGAAATTCTACATGGTGAGTTCAGGGAAACCGTCATGTGTGGTACATGTTTAGATTGCTCCACACACATGGCGGGGTATGACAAGCTGTGAGCAATCAATCCTTGCACATTCTGAGGAGGAGTTTCAGTTTTCTCCTCCTGGCGCCTTACACCGACAAAGCAAGGAATCTCTCAACGGATGCAACATTCTAGGGGGGGTGTTCAATGTTATCCTCCCCGGTGCCTAACAATGACAAAGCATACCGGGTGCTCCAGTTGAGGGGGAGCACAGAGAGAAAATGAAGAAAGTAATGAGAGAACATGTCCCTATGGCTTAGTAAACCCAACTAAGCCTACCCAAGGGACAAAGCCGAGCGTAAGTGCGTAAGTGAGCGAGTGAGTGAGTGAACATTATGAGCATTAGGAAGCAGAAGGCTCAAGTGAGAAGAAAAACAATTATCAATGATGAGTCTGCTACCTCAATTGCCTGCTATGAATTGAACATTTGCTCCTAGCCACTAAAATACTCTGGACTATCCCCATAGGTTCAGGACTGAATTTATTCAGATCCCGGGTAGAAGTCGCTGCATTTTGTCCAAACGGCGCATGCACAACCCTACCCTAGACCACTCACTTGTCTCCCAACATCCCCAACGATTCAACTCTAAAGAAGATAACTATAATAATTATTTTGTTTAAGGTGTATAAAAATTAATGATAGAATAAGTGTCTAAAAATGTTAAGAAATAAAATTTATCGATAAAATGTGTCAAAAGTTGCTATAAATATGTTAGCATTGTCGTTACGGTAAATAAATTGAACATTTTTGTGGTCACTAAAAATTATTAAGTCAATTTATAGTCCACCGTTATTATAATCATGTATTAGTAATTATATTGGTTTATTATATTTTTTCAACATTATAGCTAATTATATTTAGTAATTAATTCTCAAAAAATTAAATTAGAGTTATAGATGGGCAAAACAAATCAAAAAAATATTTTTCTTTCATTAAATACACAACTATACTATATTTTAGACCTTCGGAAAATAGGTGTGATAATTGAAAATGTGGTCATGCATCATATGAACTTACTTAGACAGTTGTATGTTGCAGTATCCAGGGTTACCAATCGTCGTGGTTTAAAAATTCTAATTGTTGATGAAGATGAAGGAACCACTGACAAGACTCGGAATGTTGTATTCAAAGAAGTGTTCAACAATGTCTAGGTATACGTGAATTGTATTTATACAATGTTATGGTTTCTACGTAGTTTAATGTTTTTTATC